GAGTTTTAACTTTTCTATTTTGGTAAATATTTGATGAATCAAATCTTGAATTGGTGTTGTTCTGCATTTTCTACTTTTTTTCCATAGTTTTGCATGTCATTTTTATAGCATCTTTTACACTCTTTTTAGTTTTACATATAATTTTTTTATTGTTCCGCATTTCATTTTTTTAGTTTTCTTTACACTTTTCCAGTTTTCATATTTTTTTATTTTTCAACATTTTGTATTTGATTCTCTCATTCCTCTTCGTGCATTCTATGTTTTATAGGTTGCTCTTTCAGTTTTCTGCATTTTTTTTTCCATTTTTCTATTTATTCATTTTTTTTGCAGGTTGCTTTTTGTTTTTTTCTTCATTCTTTTGCATTTTGCTCTAATTTTCTACAATTTTTGCATTTTTTTTGCATTTTTCTATTTGTTCTTTATTTTGCAGGTTGCTCTTTTTTTATAATTTCTTTTGGTAGAATATTTGTATTCTAATTTTAATTTAACATGAAATTTTCAATATATTTATTTACTCTAGATTTTAGTATTAATAATGGTTCTTCAAAAAAAAAAATTGTTGATAATGATTTAAATAGTTTTAGTATTTAAGAAGAGAATTTTGCAATATGTGTAAAAGACATTAAATTGTTTTTTAGTTGGTGCGTGTATTTCACGCTCGAACTCGATCTATTTTTGACTATTCAAGTGTTTAATTATTATAAAATTGACAATTGACAGGGCACAATAGGTCTTTTATTAAGTTTAGAGTGACAAATGGTTAAAACGTAAAAGTTGAGGGAAGAAATTATGCATTCACTTAAAAAATTACTTCCTCCGTTATTTATACATAGGAACAACTGATTTTTCACCAATATTAAGAAATTAGTTAAACTAATTTTTTCCCTTTTTCTCCCTATATTACCCCTAAAATCACATTAACTACTCTAAAATACAAATATCCTTCATTCACGTTTCTTGGGTTAATACAACTATAAATGTGTTGTCTCCCTTAAATTTTGGAGGGATTAGTTGTATTTGTTGCTTAATTAATGAGATATTAACTTATCACACTAGAAATGAAAATTCAAAATTTAAACTTAATTTTTGGCTCTTCATTGAAATTTTTTGCACGCAAAAATTGATCAAAATTTAGTAGCCAATTTTTTCATTTGAATTTTAGAGTCTCCTCAACTTCGTAAAAATATAAGCATATAAATTTGGACTGGAATACATCTAGAAATTGTGATCCACAATATTTTCTTCCAGCATGAATCCATTGAATCAATTAGACCTCAATGATTCTCTTCAAGACTCTCCCAATAACTTAGAAGTTGTTCCCATATGCAATGAACTTCCATTCAATTTAAACTTTACTCCAATAGAAGAAGAGGTTGTCATTTAAGAGACAGTCAAAAATCATCCATCTGAAAATGCAAGAAGGGCAAACAAATGAAAAATATCTCTGAAGATTTGAAGAATTCAGTTAAGACACTGTTATTAAATGAGATGCAAAAAGGTTCGTTAACTACGGGAACTTATAGAAAAGTTGCGCCACTTTTTTCAAGTATAAGAGGTCAGTATATAGGATTTGGAAAAATGCAAAGGACAGAGATAACCAAAATGAAACGCTCATGGAATAAGGGACATAAACATGTGGAAATAACTCTTTATAGAATTTTTGAAATCCTTTTAAGGTGGAGGACCACAATTCGTGCCTTAGCACATGAGTTAAGTTCATCCCTATCACATGTGCACAAAATGATTAAAAATGAGAGATAAAAAACATTCAAATGCAATCAAGCCACTGTTGAAGGAAGAGAACAAAAGAAATAGAGTTCAATTTTGTCCAAATATGCGCTCGATCCAGGTACAATTAACACTAGATAGAAGCATGCACAACATAATCCATATAGATGAAAAGTGGTTTTATATGTGCAATAAAACTCAGAAATTTTACCTAGCTTCAAATGAAAAGGAGCCACAACTGCAATGTAAAAGCAAGAAATTTATTCCAAAAATCATGTTCCTTGCTGCATCAACTCGCCCTAGGTTTGATTCAAATTCAAACATAGGCTTGGCCTTTCTGATACAATGAACTTGCTAGAAGAAAGAGCAAAAATCATGCAGCGGGTACTTTAGAAACAAAACCAATCATGTCAATAATAAAAGATGTTGTTCGTTCCATTCTTATTGAGAAATTGCTTTCTTCCATTAAAAAAATGTCCAGCTGATTCTGTAGGTAGTATTTTTATTCAATAAGACAAGCAAAGCTCGACATAGGTATTGGTGATGCTGAGTTCATACATGCAGCACAAGAACTACAGTTGGACATTTCTTTAGTATGTTAACACCAAGCAGTTCAGATCTAAATGTCCTAGATTTAGGTTTTTTTCAGAGTAATAGATTCTATCAAGCAAAAGGCTGCCCCCAATTCTATAGATCAATTAATAGATGCTGAGGTAGAAGCTTACAATGATTTTCCTACTATTGAAATGAATAAAGTTTTTTTAACTTTGCAGACATGCATAGTGGACATTCTGAAGTGCAATGGTGGAAATAATTACAGCATATAACATATGTCTAAGGACAAATTAATTAAAACTGGCATTTTGCTTAATGTTGAAGTGAATGTAGAACTAGTAAAAGAAGCAACAATTAGGGATAGAAGCGCAGTGGATATCCGCGAATTTTAAACTATCCATATTTTTTTTAACTTTGCAGACATGCATAGTGGACATTCTGAAGTGCAATGGTGGAAATAATACAGCATATAACATATGTCTAAAGGACAAATTTAATTAAAACTGGCATTTTGCTTAATGTTGAAGTGAATGTAGAACTAGTAAAAGAAAGCAACAATTAGGGGGACTAGAAGCGCAAGTGGGATATCCGCGGAATTTTTAAACTATCCATATTTGTATCTGTTTAAAATTATACTAACCATATCCCGTTAAAAAATCCATTTAAATAATTTATTTAATTATGCCATCCGAAATCCGTTAATTATTTTACCTATCCATATCATTTTCAAAAATTTTTAATAACCTGAATCTGGAACCCTAGTTTAAATTATCATTTAATTAAAGATTCAAACCACTAATATTTTTTTTTTTAAACTAAAAACATAATCATGTAACGTCAGAATCTTTAAGTAAAACTTGGTAAAAATCTTAAGTAAAATTATTAAAATCGTAGATTTTTTAAGTTAAAAATGAAAAAATGAAAAATGAAAAATGAAGTTTAAGGTTCTTCCCAAAGTAACAACCCATATGGAATAAAAAATTCAATGAAACTAACAACAACTTTACGTAATCGATAGTTTAAGTTCTTCAGTAACAACGCACATATGATAAAAATTCATGAAACTAACAACAACTTTATGTAATGCGATATATAAAGTTAAAATATTATTTAATTTTTAATGGGTTTAATCACTATAGCCTATACTATATATATATAAATATTAAATATTAAAATAGAAAATTGATCTATATATATTAAAATATTAAAATAGAAAATTGATCTATTATAATATATTGATAAATTGTATTACTTAGTATTAAAAGCAAAATATATTCTTTGAGCAATTTAAAAAAATACTATCTTAAAAAAATAAAATAAGAAATTATAATTAATAAATATTCACGAATTCAAGCTAACTAATATGTATGTATAAGCTCATATCCATTCTATTAAAAACTATATTAAAATGGTTTAGTGGTAAATATCATTTTCTTTTTTTAAAAGGTCAAAGGTTCAAATATCTAAATCAACATTTATATAATAAATATGCTACTATTATGGATAAATAGGTAGGGTATACCCATAAAGTAATCTACCGTTAGTAATTTTACTATCCATATTCATTTTAAATCGGGTATTCTCAAATATCCGTTCCGCTTCCATCCCTAGCAGCAAGGACAATTCAGCACACGATTGAGGACAACTCCACCGTTTGAGCCTTTTTCACTTTTTGGTTATTGATATTAATGTATGTCAGTTTTACAAAACGAGCATATTTCTCTAGTTGTTTGCCCACAAATAGAATGTTTTTGGATTTTAATTCGTATTTATTTCATTTACCATAAGTTCTAAATTTTGTAATGGAATGTCATAAACTGCTGTCACTTTTGAAAAAAATGAGCTCAGTTCCAAGTATCTAACATCAACTGTATAAATTACATACACATTGAGAAAATTCTAAACACAAATGCTTTTATTTTGGAAAACAAAAATAAGAACTGCACGCAGATTGGTTATTATGATGAACTTACATAGTCAACGAGAATTTGGTTTAAAATAATTTCTGTCAACCTAAACTCTGTCTGTCACTATCTTAGGATTTTTCAAAAGAAAAAAAAAAAAAAAATAGAAAAAAAAAAAAAAAATATATATATATATAATATAATATATTACAACACATATATACACACACACTAAAGAAAGAGATATCTTCTCTCTTTACTACCCACGAAGCGGAATAGCTACCCCATTTACTACGCCTTTGATTTCATTATAAGCAATAGATCAGATGAAGATTAATTCGTATGGCAAGTATCTATAGTAGCGAATTAATCTTATATCACATTGGATATGTTTGGTTTATGCGACTTTGATCCTATAATTTTTATGAAACCGAACTAAAATTTTGATTTTTAAAGTTTATAAATTGAGTTAAATGATTGACTTTTAAAACCAGGGTTTTAAATTGATTTTAATCAGTTTAAAACGATTTGAGTGGTTTTATAAACGTCTCTAATCATGGAATAGGAGGAAGTAATTATAAGGATCCAAAAATTACGAAGGCAGTTTACTTAGATGCTAGTCCGTTGCTTCTTCACGACCATCCCACCCCAATTCGTCTCAAGCAACGCGTGGGAGCCGAAAGAAGAAGAAAACGTGTTTTGTTAATGGGTCCCAGTATTTGCGTATGCATGTAGTGCAGGTGTCTCTCTACAGTGCGTTTCCTTGCCTAGTATAAATCTTCAATAACAAAAATAAAATAAAAAACAAAAAACAAAAATTAAGCAAATGCCAAAGTCTAACCCAATCATTAGGCCCCGAACCCAACAATGACTCACACATCCATCTAAAAAAACGGTCCTCTATCTCTCTCCCTATCGCCATGGCAGTTTCTTTCTTCTCTTCAATCCCTCCCAAGCCTCCCTTCTCTCTCTAAACCCCTAAATTACTACTCCTTTTTATGTTATAAGGATATATTACAATTCGTTTTACAGTTTAGAAAGATCTGTTTCGCTTTGTAATGGCGATTTTTGTGACGGGAGATCGGTATCTGGAGAAGCTGGTTAAGTTCGTCGAAGGCCACGCCGGTCCTTTACTTGATGGAACCCTAGTTCTTAAGCTTAATCCTGCTGGACTCCACTATGTTCAATCTAGGCTTGAGGCGTTGCATGAACTCGAGAATCTTCTATCTGGTGCGCCAATTGACTATCTTCGCGCTTACGTCTCTGACCTTGGAGACCACCGCGCACTTGAGCAGCTCCATCGTATTCTTAGGTTGCTTACGTCGCTTAAGGTGGTTTCTGTTTTGCCTCCGCCTGCTCGTGATCCTACGCCTCTTTCTTTGTTGCCTTTTGGGAGATTGAGGGTTTTGGAGCTTAGAGGTTGTGATTTGTCTACTTCGGCTGCTAGAGGTTTGCTTGAATTGAGACATACCTTGGAGAAGATCATTTGCCACAATTCTACTGTGAGTTTTTTATTTTTTATATTTTAAATTCTTTCCTTATATATGTTTTTATTGCAATGTTCGATTGTTTTGGACTGCAAAACTTTGTGTTTTTTTGTTGGAATATAAGATGTTTAGGAATCGAATTATTTGGCTTGATAAATTGAAATATTAAAAAACGAGGGAATGAATATAGGTTTGATTTATTGTTTTTGAGCTTGATTTTTTTGGGAGGCTTCTTGGTGTTTGATTGGGATGTAAAGGAAGTGGGGTTCAGTTATAGCAAACACAAAAATCGGAATCTATTGCTTGAATTATACTTGGGATTAAGATTTTGTTATTTTACTTAGTTGCTGGAGCAACCAAACTTCATGCTTCAATTGTTACTGATTAGATATTTTCTCTATGGTGGTCATTGCATTCTTAGTTGCATTATCTTAAATTGTTTTATTTTATTATGACTACTTCGTTTTATCAAGATTTTTGTCTGTATATTTGTTTTTGACATTTTTTCTTTTTCCTTCTTTTGAAAAAATGTAGGATGCTTTACGCCATGTATTTGCAAGTCGGATTGCAGAGATAAAGGAATCTCCACAATGGAACCATTTGTCATTTGTATCATGCGCGTTTAATCACTTGGTTTTGATGGATGAATCTTTGCAACTTCTTCCTGCTGTTGAAACACTTGATTTGAGCAGAAATAAGTTTGCTAAGGTGGATAATTTACAGAAATGTACGAAACTGAAGCACCTGGATCTTGGGTTCAATCATTTGAGATCAATTGCACCCTTTAGTGAGGTAGGAATCTGTGAATTTATGCTGTGACTAGTAGATCTACCTGTATGATTTGGTGCCTTGGCACTCTAGGTTACTAAATAAAATTCAAGTTTGCTAGTTGCTAGATTTTTCTTTTTTCTTTTTAGAAGGTTGCAGCTGTGTTGGTTGTCCTATTTACTGCATGTTTTAGTTAAATGCTTTGTAATGGGATTTGCATCCTAATATCTATCTTGAGAGTTTAGCCACTCAGATCCTCTAAGAGTATTTATTTCAGATTTTCTGGCTCAAAGAAAAATAGTACTTGCTGCTTCCTAAGACTGATCACCATACTTATCAAAAAAGGGAAAATCAAAAGGCTGATCAGCATAAAGCACAAGCAGGCTGGTGGTTGTTATGCTCTACATTAGGTATCTTGAATTTCATTACTTGACTTAGGCAGCTAGGCCAATGATGGACCCTTAGCAAGAAGGGTCGATCAATCTCTTTGTCCTCATCAAAGGACATGGTTTTTTTTTTCTCTCTCTCTTTAAAGTTCAGGGACCATTCTTGATGAAAATTCTGAAAGTTTGAGGGCCAGTTGACTATTTGCTCTGATGTCAAATTAATCTGTTGTTCACTGGTCTAGGATTAACAAGTAGTTGGAGGACCTAGGTGATTAGTGCCTACCTTGAGATTGAACAAATTGAGTCAAGCTGCAATTAGAGCCTAGCCAAATTGAAAGCTATTGCTATAAAGATTCAGCAACTTTCTTTGATTTAGTGGTGTTACAGGTATGATAGATTACCTACCAAACATAGTTATTAAAGTGCTAAAAGCACATTAAGGTACCTAGGTGCAAGGCACCAGTGCAAGCACACACCCGAGTTTCAAGGTGCAAAAGAAATAAAATAAGATAATTGATACTATATAAGGTAGCTGCACATAATATGACAAAAAATTTTGAATTGTTGCAAATAAAGTGTAATAGATTTTTGATCCAGGACAGTTTGAATTTTTCGGAGATTAGTGCTGGAATTTTTAGAAATAAAGGATTAGGGTTTGAAGATCAATATGACAAATCTGGATTTCTTTAGAAAAATAAAGGAAAATTAAGCAAACAAACATAAACTATTAGCATCACACTGATAGGATCTACGACTCACTTCTATTAAGGAATAATGACACTTTCTAAGGTTAGAATTGCATCACACAACTCGAAGCTAACAGCATAATCTGCTGTATTTTTATCGGCTGACAACTTGATTAGAAAGCAGTACAAGCATGGATAGCTATAGACCCAAACTACTCCTGAACTTCTTGAGCCTTTGAATTGAATTTCTTCTATCCGCGTCAGTTCTTAGGGTACAAGTGAAAAATTATATCTTATGGGGAATTATGCAAGTAATAATCAGAATAGAAATGTAGGAGTTTCACAACCTAATAACGTGAGTTTCTAGGTTGAAGGTGATTCAGACACATATTTCAACCTTCTTGCTTTAGATGTCAAATAACTCTCAAGGATTTATATTAGAGCTTCACTTTGCATGCTAATAAGTGGTGCTATAACCCGATAATTTGATTAGGACTATTGGTGACGTGCTATGAGTGTGATTAGATGGCAAGTAGTGGCGTGATAGTTAATGACTAGTGGATAGTGCTGGTCCAGATTACTCTTTGATGACTTGGAAAATACCCAGATGTAAGCATTGCAGCATTGGTTAATGGTACAGGGTATCTTTTGGAGGGGGTGTATGCACATGAGAGCTGTCATATATTGCTATAAGAGCAACTTGGCTTGTTATATGAATTCTCTTAATGGACCATTGGTAGCAACTTGGCTTGTTATATGAATTCTCTTAATGGACCATTGGTCTTAGTATGACTATAGTTTGGTTGAAGTGGTTGGTCCTCGCATAGGGGGACGGAATTTTTATATTTCATGTGCAATTTTAAAGTACCATATTCTAGGAATGCTAGAAAAATTGAATTAAGTGTTGAAGCAACACATGAGAGTGTATGCACATGAGAGGGGTCATATATTTCTATAAGACCAGCTTGGCTTGTTAAACAAGTGTTCATAATGGACCATTGAATCTAAGTGTGACATGTTTAGTTGAAATTGTTGGTCCTCCCTTGGGAGTGTATACATCTTTTGGAGGGAGTCTATGCACATGAGAGGTGTCATATGTTGCTATAAGAGCAAATTGGCTTGTTGTATGAATTCTCATAATGGACCATTGGATCTCAATATAAGAAGGGTTTTGTCAAAGTGGTTGGTCCTTATGTAGGTGGACAGAGTTCTTGCGATTCATATGTGATTCTAGAGTATCATTTTCTAGAGATGCTAGAAAAATTGAATTAAGTGAATTTTGAAGCTATACATGAGAGTGATGCACATGAGAGGTGTCACATATTCCTATAAGAGCAACTTGGCTTATTAAACAAGTTTACATAGTGGACTATTGAATTTGGTTCTCATATAGGAGGATGAAGTTGTTATGTTTCATGTGAAATTCTAGAGTAGGCTGAATACATAAATTCATCCCTAAGCTTTGTTATTTAACCTTATGGCACCTTCAATTTTTACTTTGATGCATAAAACATTTCAACTTATAAAATTTATATCTTTTAAGAACTTCAACTTGCAAAATCATTTTATTAAGCATTTCAATTTGTAAAATTAAAACTATCAAATATCTATTAGATGGTTGAAAATGTGTTGACCACACGTCAAATCAATATTTTGCAAATAAAAGTGAAAACCCTAAAAACTGTACCGTTAGTGTGGAAAGATGTGCATTATTACCAAAATTCATAAGTATAGGGGTATGATAGATCTCCTTCAAAGATTAAGGTGCCACAAAATTAAAGTAACAGAGTTCCCGGTGAATTTAGGTATTTGGCCTTCTAGAGTACCATATTCTAATTCTAGGTATGCTAAATTGAATTAGATGTTTGTTGGAGCTACACACTCCAGGACTTCAGGGCATTAAAATTTTCACCAGATCAGTGTTTGACACCTATATGCACCTTTTATTTGCAAGTGTTTCCATTCTTAAAGGTTGATGTTAGAGCTTTGTTTGGTATGGTGTAGTTATGTCAATTATTCATTTTACACAAAAAAGAAAAATCATTAAGGGAATTGGATATAGAAATCTATATATTGAATTTCTATCTTCTGTTGACAAATAAAATGGCCACAAAATTATTTCAATATTTATCACTTGGAAAGTTCCTTTTTTGTCCCTTTCTCTCTATCGAATGATGATGGACATTTTGTTGTTAACTTGTGCTCACACTTCTAAAAAGATGTAAAGACTTAAGACTATTGAAATACATTAAATGGAGTTGATTATGGATTTCTTTTCATGATGCATGAAACGTGCTTAAGCTTTGATAGCTTTGCTATTGTTTATAGGTAGCTCCTAATCTCCTATATTCAATGCTGCAACTTGGGAACCTAAATTTATCATTTTTCCAGAAGGATCCTGTTATGAAATTTGCTTGAAGCTTCACTTGCTAGGCAATTACTTGAATAAATTAATTGTTAAGTGACATGTTTTGTAGTTTGAATCTGAAATTTTTCATTCCGCTATTATTTTTCATTTTAGGAGTTAGCTTTGGACCCATACGCCGATGTTGTTGGACTATGCAGGTCTCCAGTCATATTGTTAAACTTGTTTTGAGGAACAATGCTCTAGCTACATTACATGGGCTTGAGAATTTGAAGTCACTTGAGGGGCTTGATGTTTCCTACAATATTATTTCCAATATTTCAGAGCTGGAGTTCCTTGGAAGCCTACCATTTCTTCAGAACTTATGGTTGGAAGGAAATCCATTGTGTTGTGCCAGATGGTATCGAGCACAAGTATTCAGCTATTTTACACATCCACATACTGTAAGTAATGACCCCTATTAATAGTTCATCTTTTGAAGTCCATTCAATTGGTTGTTATTTCTCATCAATTTGAATATGATATCTAAATGATCCAGCACATTACTCGATTCTCAAATTCGATTGTTACTAAACTGATAGCTCAATGTGTTTCATGGCTAATTAGTTGAAGTTGGATGACAAAGAAATCAGCACAAGAGAGCTTTGGAAGATGCAAATTATAATTGCCAGCAGGCAAAAGCGACCTGCCAGCTTTGGATTTTATTCTCCTGCAAAAGATGATGCTGGCGGAGAGGGGAGTATCATCGGGAAAAGGGTAAGTGCAATTACTGGAGTTTATGTTAAGAAAGTTAATCTTGGTGTTGAACTTTTATTAGCATAGCTTGACCTAAGTACTTCATATATCTTTGCGCTAGTCAATTTCTTTTTAGTTGTGATATTCCTTTGTTGTTATTGATCTAGAGAATTGTGATATTCCTTACAGAGAAAAATGTCTCGTCTTGCTGCAATCGAAATTGAAGAAGAGAGCACATATTTTTCTTCTGACCAGGAGTCACCATCATGTGATAATGATATTCAAAGCAAAGATGAGAATATCATATCTGATGATGAAGCTGAAATAGTTGATTTGATCAACAGAGTTGAGCTCATGAAGAGAGAAGATTCTATTCTTTGGTTGCGGGAATTTAAACAGTGGATGGATCTTGAATCTGAGAATTGTTTGGATGGGGGTACATATAGCAGGGTTACATTCCATCATACAAAGGAAAATCATCTGCAAAGCAAGACAAGCCATAAACATCATGGTGAAAGTTCAAGATATGTCTCGAATTCTCATCATGCTTCGGGAGATGAAACTAGTGAAAATGTCTTTGAATCTAATGCTTCTTTTGTGGGAATGTCTGCATCGGGAATAGGAGGGCCAAGACACAATTATGATAAATTCTATTTGCATGAAGGGTTAATCGTTCAAAAAGACAACAAGATTGTTGAAAATGGGAACTTATCACCGTTGACTACCATAGATGATACAACAGAGTCTCATTTTTCCTCTGCTTACCCAGGGTCTCCTCCCCATTACCGTGTGGACATTTTGCGTCGTCGCCATAATTTTGTGGAAGAAATTTTACAGCTGTCTGCAGAGACCTATTCGGTAGCTTCATCTGACAGTAATACCAGCTGTAGTGATGATGATTTATATGAATATGGGCATTTAGCAAATGAATATCAATCACAGAGTGAAGAATACTCAAGTTTCAAAGGTGGAGCGCATTCATCTTCTGATCTTTTTATTGAAAAGAATTATGATCAGGAATACGGAATTCTTCATGTGGTTGAAAATGAAAGGTTTTTGTTTGATTCACATGATGGACAACCCATTGTTAAAGTAAAAAATGAAGGATTTTGTCCACTGCAAGAAAAAGAAGGAAACAAAGAGGCAGATGGGCTAGAGAAGACAAAAAGCAAAAGAAAACCAAAGAGAAGAGTTATTTCACTAGCAGGAAATGGGGTGAACAAGAAAGGGACATCAGAAAGACCAACTGTTGATATGGATACTTGTGAAGCTGGTGAAGAAGATAAGCAAGGGAAACGAATTGTTGACAAGAAACAGTTGCAGAAAAGTGCAAATAGAACTCCTGCAATTGCAAATGTTGGTAGGTTCTCTGATGATTTTATTGAGAAGTACTTTAATGCGAATGTTGCAGATTCCAGAATTAATGAGACCTGTATACACTATCTGCATTGTGATTGTGTACTTGAGCCAGATTCCTTGTACAGAGAAAGGTAAACATCTTGTATCATGTGAAAATGCATGTGATTTCTTTATTTTTAAAGTTAAACATAAAGTCACTCTTCTAAGTTCTAGAATGGGTCTATATTTGGGTTAGTCTGTATCACATGAAATATCTCTCCATTTTCTCGAATTTTCTTGACTAGAATAGGTATTGATTTTTCATACTCTGCTCTATATTTTCCTGAAGCTGATGAGATACTCTTTGGACGTTGCCAAAATTGCCAAATATTCTTTGCATTTGGCAAGTGCATTTTGTTTTCATTTGTGCTCATGATTTGCATGTTATTGCTCCAAAATTTTTTAAGTTAGGCAAGTTCTTGATGAGTTGTATTTCTATTGTTTTATTGTAAAATGGTAGTTCATGGTTTAAATTTATAGTAGTCCATGTAATGTAAGCCTATGAGTGTTAAAGTGCATTCCTCCATTTCGTATTCCCCTACTTTAGCTTATTATATTCTTTCACATAAAGAATTAAAGTTCAATTATGAGTTTGAATGAATAGCAGGCAGTTGGATGAGAGGTCGTAAATTTGTCCAAAGTTGCAGGCGTGAGGTGCCTGTTTGTATCTAATCTATATTGTTTTACATGGCATCAGTTTCATTTACTGCTCATTGAATTGGCCCATTTCTGCAATATGCTTTTTTTTTTTTTCCATTGGTTCAGATAAAATTGTTTACAATGTTTAATTTTCATATCTAGTAGTTCTCTGCTGTCTGCATTCTTTTTTTATTTTTCCAAATGCCTCTTCTTATTGCTTGCAGAGAAGTTGCTTTATTGTTGAGCAGTGCAAACAAGTTGTATGTATTACTCATTGGTGTAGCATTTGATGGCTCAGGTTAGTAATGAGGAGACCTACTTCTCATTCATTGTTTTTTGTACTCGGTTATGTGGAAATTTACTTTATCTCTGGTTGTCTAACCTCGTAAGTTTGGAAATTCACTTTCATGATGCGTTGCAGGGAATATTTTGAGTCTGCTTGGTTGGCACAGGGTTGAAGATGTTAAAGAGGTTTTGGTTGGTTTAGGACTTCAGGTTGTGAGGTTAGTGATTTCTGGTACTGTGAGCAATTATTATACTGGTCGGTTTCCTAAAACTGTTTCCTCTTTTGTTGCTGGTTAGGGTGTACATTGAGAAAGGGGCAACTTATTTGTTTCTAACAAGGAGCATTGAGAAATCAAGGCAATTACTTTACGCACTACAAGTTTTTGGTCCATATGCAATCAATGACAGATATGCATTAAGAAGGTAATTTATCTTAGGGTTAATTATACCAGTGGTGTTTGAAGTTTTTCATTTTTGCTATTTTGATATCTGAAACAAAAAAATAAAAATAAAAATTCTATCATGGTGCTGGAGTTTCCTTTTCTTTCCTTTTTTTTTTTTTTTTTTTTTTTTTTTTTTTTTTTTTATTTTGATATCTGAAAACAAAAAAAAAATAAAGAATAAAAAATTCATCATGGTGCTGGAGTTTCCTTTTTCTTTCCCATTTTTTTTTTTTTTTTTTTTTTTTTTTTTTTTTGTTGGCTGACTTTTTTCACCTAAATTTTTTTTTTTTTTTTTTTTTTTTTTTTTTTTTTGTTGCTGACTTTTTTTCACCTAAATGCTGGTTAGGACATTTAAGGCCCACCTATCGCGAGTTTATATTGACATGGATTAGATGAGTGAGAAAATTCCTTCTCTCATGCCTGGTTCATGCTTAAATGCATGTTCCTCTTTTGCTAAATTAAATCTTCGTTATACTTTTCCTTTACCAGCCCAGAAAAGAATATTAGAATGAAGAGAAGAGATACAAGAGGTACAATAAAAGCTGGCAAAAAAATATTAGGAAAAGAAAGGGAACCAAGAAAGTAGCAGCTGGGTAATCCAGAACGCATTAATCAAAATAAAAGCTGGATCTCAAAAGCATAATAGAATCATGAGGTATCTAGATAAAAAAATCATTTGTCTTAGCAATTCCGACCCGACAAAGTGTCCTACATACATTACATTAGTCGGTCATGAGATCATAACACTAAATCTATGCGGCATAATTATACCTTTAACTTTACAACTTTAACCTAGTAGCAACCTAAACTTTTATGAGAACCTATTGTGCTCTTATAGTTGCAAATTATGGTAACTATGCATACCTTTCCACACTATTAACAATTATGTTTTAGGGTTTTTATCTTTTATGTGCAATATATTGATATGATATATGGTGAGTACAACTTTTGGAACAATGGGTTCAAAATTTTCAACTATCCAATAAGTGTTACTAATTGGAACAATGGGTGCAATATATTAATGTAATGTTACTAATTGGAGCATTTAATAGAATGGTTTTGCAAGTTAAAATGCTTAATTGGTGCAATTTCGTAAGTTGAAATGTTCCATGATTCAAAAAAAATTGGGGATGCCGTTAGATTTTTCTTGTAAAGTTCTGGTGCCACTTAATGCATTTGACCAAATATATGTTGGTGAAAAAAGTCACTATTAATGAAATAAGATATGAAAAGAAAAGGGTGAAAATGGGCACCCTTACTAAATCAATCTCTTATCCTCACCCTTACTCTTATCCTTACCCATAGCTGGTGTTCAGTAATTGTTGATGATCTTCAATTTGGCAACTGCGTGCCACGATTGATTCGATGATTCCCCAAATTGAGGCCCATGAGCTTCAATGATCAGGACCCCAAATCTCATACCCATCTCTTTTGTGCTCCATCCGCTACTATTACGGGGGCTTAAATGATTGGAAAGTTTGAGTTATGAGGCTAGTTGAAATTGTAACAATCGGTCAAGATCGGAGTTAAGAGAGGAGGTAGTTATATGAGGATGAAGTTAAGGGCTAAACCTGAGTGAGGATGATGCACATATAAACTGTGAAAATTAGAGAGAAACTAAAGCCAAATCCATCTCCTCTCTCGCTATTGCTAGAGAACATGGAAGCTCTTTCTCGATTCTGTTGGTCCGCTGGCCAACTGTTGATGGTCATATCAAAGAATACCTTAGGTTCACTATTGGAATGCAGATTAGAGAAGAAAATTACGGATTTTTAAAATTAGAATTAATCAAGAACCCTAACTTAGCCTAACTATCTCTGATTGACGAGTTCTAAAAGTTAAAGGGCAGAAATTTTATTTCACTCATATATTGCATGTGGATCACTGTGCCGTGATTTCTTCAGCAACCATCTTGCCACCTCAGTTAATTGGCTAAAGGTGGGCCCACACTGTCCCATTTAGATTTCAGGCAAGCAAAGCATGCGGAAGCACGTGATTCTAAAAAATTTATTGTTTAAGCACTTCAGTAAAGAAATTTTCCGTTGAGACACCAAAAGAAGAACAAAGAAGTAGACACTATTTATATAAACTAACCCTTTTATCTTATGCGCTTCAAATATAGATATCAACTTTAAGGTCGCTACACATATCAATATCCAACTCTAGTTTATTTTGCTTTGAATTTAATCTATCTGTACTTATTTTTCTCTGTTAATCTTATATGATAGACTGGGGTTTTGGGAATTTATATGGCAGTTTGGAGCAGGTTCAGGTTGAGTTATTTGAGAAACAAATATGTGGAGGTTCAAACATGAGCATATTCCAATATGCTATGGTGCTCTTTTGGTACAAAAATAAAGGTATAATTCTCAATTTTTTGTGCTGATTCAATTATCTGTAAATTAAGTAAATGGCGTACTTTGTCATGGACTTGTGCTTATCTATAGCAAATAATGTAAAATTTATGTAATTCAGTAGTTAAAATACCTCGAAGCAGATCAATATTTGGGAATTGAAGAGTAAAGATAGATTTCTCGACCTTATCATTACTTTCAGAAATTCATGATTTCACAGCTAATTGATGCTCTTTTGATTCATACCAACATGTTGAATATCCTAGTAGTGACATCTGCTAGCTGTCAAATCCACAAATTTAACAATTTTTCATAGGGAAAAAAATTAGGAGGAAACTCTAGAACTTAATGACCAGGGAATTATTATTTTGGTATTAGGCATGCTCAGCGTGTAGTAGTCCAATGGTTGCCTCAGTGAAACATGCATCATATGAGTTCCAAGTATTTGGTTGTAAATATGATAACTTCATATGTGCACTGTCGTTTTCCTTTTTTTTTTTTTTTTCTCATTTATATTTTCACAATTACAATTTCTGAACGAGTGGTTAAATGTGTACATTGGTTCTAGTTTGTTTCAAGCATAGTATGAATGTTTTGTGCTACAGATAAAATGGCTTAAGATTTAAGGATTTTCAAAGTAAAAGGATAAACTATTTTCTATACTTCTATTAGATGTTCAAAATATGTTTCAAGACTTTTAGACTATTTGTAGCATATGCTATTCTACAGGTTTTTTCATTATAACTTGGCCACAGGTTCAAATTATTGAAATAGTGTCCTCCTTTCACAAGGGGAAGGCTGAGTACTTTTAGACGTTGTTTGGAAGAGTGAAAAATGGGAGGATGGAAAATGAGAGAAAAATGTACTAATAATTGACTAGATACGTCAAGTAAATCATATGTATTTTGTCTTAAACATTGACTTGAACTTGATACATTTTCCTTTATTTTCTATCAATGTATCTTCAATCCTCCAAAACAAAGAGTTAGTCCACCCTAGAGTATTCATAAGGTAAATATCCCAAGTTCATCAAAATGTCGGATGTAGAGAAATATTGGATATAGCGATGCGCCCATGCACAATTTGAAAATAATCATATAAAATTAATCATATATGGTCTGAAATTTATCAAAATGCAAATTTAGAGCAAATTTGCATTTTGAATAAATCAGACTGAGCTTAGTATCTAATTTTAAAAGAAATCCCTGAAAGTAAGAAATAGGCTGGTGAATCTAACCCTGTCAATGATGGAAAAACACTGGATATAGAAACAAAAAAATGTGAAACACTGAGAGTAATATTTATTATGGCCTAGTACCCAGGAGAAAAAAAGCAAAAGAAAGAGAACCCAAAATTAATATGCGAGGTCCCATAGCTTCTAAACTAGATTACTATACACTATTTTGGCTAATTAGTTACAATTGTAGCCACTAGTGAATGGGAAAGCAAAAATGTTCGAAAACACCCATCTACCTCCTCCCTTAACCTCTCACAAAACCCATAATCTTTCATCTTTCTTTCTTCCCAAGAAAATATTAGAAACTGAATCAGTATTTGGAGACTGGAATTCTCAGGAATGATTTGGATGAAGAATAAAGTGCGTCGAGTAATGACCTTTTGTTGTTAATGATCACTATATGCTGGCCTTTTCTTGTATTGCAATAGAACCTGCCAACACAGACAATTATGTTTATTTCACACTATGCACTCATAGAAGCCTCTATTTATTCAAGATCTACCAACATTGTGGTACTCACTCATTTGGATAATGCTAGAGTTGAAGGGCAGGCTAAGTGACATGCAAGAGTACAAATTGAAGAAGAAAAGTTAATGTTTGGTGTATATTAAGGCAATTGCAGGATGATAATGTTTACAAACCTTCCTTTGGAGAAGCAAGCAGCAATTGCTAATTGAATTATATTATCCTACTACATGAGCTCTCTTGGTAACAGAATGTGCAGTGAGATGGTGGCTGAGAGTTGGGGGAGGATTGCAGAGGGAGTATTTTGGGAAAACACTGAGAGCCTTTAGTAAAGTTAGGGGCGAGGCACAAGAGGATGTGCTGGGCTCTTTTGACTAGTAGGTGTAATCACTATTAATTGGCTAGATTAGGATACATTAGGCTAAATTGAAAGGTTTGGGATTAAATACAAATGTGGAATTGTTTTGTATTTTTTACTTTTTTTATTTTTTTTGGTCATAGCCACTAGCTGAAGATTGGACAATAAAAGAATGGTTCTGCTAGTGTCAAGTAGTTGAGGCATCCCTTCATGTTTATATTTGATTAGATGTGTGTAGTTATTTCTTTTTCTTTTCTTTCTTTTATTTTTCCCCACCCAACTTTGGGCTTTTTACATTTGGCATGACTGGAATTTCTTTTGTATTGAAAAGAGGAATCATGGGTTCCAAGGTCGCTGTTTGTAAGTGGAGCACATGTGTTTCTGTGTATTGAAGAACTTAAGCAGTTCAGCTCAACTTCATTGGAAGCATCTTCCTCCTCGTATTTCTCCCTAGATTCATGTTGTTCCATCAGTGACATAAATGAGATGGTAACTTCCCATTTAATCTTTTTTCTTTTTATTCATGCAATTATGCATTGAAATTACTAGAATTAGTACAGCCTCTCTAGCTTGGGCTTAGTGATGTACTTTCTCTGTATCCTCATTATCTTTCCATTTTCTTGCTTTGCTCAAAAATGATAGTGACAGATTAAAATTGCTCATTCTCTCAATCTGGGGGCAATGCCTCCTTAATTCTCCTGTGACAAGCTAACTTAGTTGTCAGGTCCATACTCTGAAATGGCCCTCTTTTTTTTTTTTTTTTTTTTTTTTTTTCTTTGTCTAATTGTCTTAAAAAACAACAAACACACACTCACAGGTTACCCTTGAGAAAATGTTTTTTCTGGCTAACATGGTTTTTGGTAACTGCATTTAAATTTTTTTTTTTTTTCTTAAGTATTAATATTTTTGATTTTTTTTTTTTTTTTTTTTTTTTTTGGTCTAATTGTCTTAAAAACACAAACACACATACAGGGTTACTTGAGAAACTGTTTTCTGGCTAACATGGTTTTGGTAACTGCATTAAATTTTTTTTTTTTTTTTAAGTATTATATTTTTGAAGACCTAATGACAAAAAAACTCAGAACCTGAAAATGCCAGAAATAGAATATTCGCCATGATTTCAATAAGCAGTTGCAATTGTACCTATTTGGTCAAAATTGAAATGAATAGGTCTATTGTACATATCATTTTTTCTTGTCACTAATCACTGAACTCAACTATAGCATAATCCTCCATAATCCTTTAATTAGAATCTAGGAGGATTTATATTATTCATTCTAAGGTTAGATTCCATTTTCAGGTGATTGAGAGCCACTTGGTAACCTTAGTCCTTGAGCGTGCCTCGACTAAGTTATCCCTCTCTTCCAAGGCTTACGAGGAAGTAACAAAAAGTAGCAAGGATGATGCCGCCTCAGGCTCTTTGACATGGAAACTCAAGTGGTTCTCTGAAGAGAGTTTATTAAATTTTGTGGCATTGTTGAAGGCAATTCATTCAGGGCTCGTGATGACTCCATTGGTCGTAACACACGTGTCTTAAGTGTTCTCATTTGTATATTAGTTGTTTCAATATCGATATTCACTTCATTCTTTTGGGGTAGGCTTTCCATTATTTGTTCTTATTTATTTTTTATTTTTGGTTTAAATTTGTTATTGTTTTTATGTATCTTTAGTGTGGCAATTCAATAGCTCTTTCTTGTGATTCTTTATGTAATTGAGTTTTTTTTCTCTTGTATAAATTGTACATTATATAATATGAAAAGAAAATTAAGATTGGTTTGTGTTGTCAGATATCGTCTGGAAAGTGCAATGGGTATGGGATTTGGTAATTTTGTTGGTTTTACCAAAACTGCAGTCACCTTCTATGCCAAAGTTAAATCAAAAAAATAATTCTTCTGGACAAAAGACAGGGATCAATTCAAATTGAAAATTGTCATTCAGAAATGTAGTGGGATATTTTTTTTAAACTGCCAATCACAACAATATGTGATAAATCCCTTCATTGCAAAATCCTGATTTAGCTAGGAACACAGTATGATGTCACAGCTTTTGATACTTTGACTTGATCTCTTTTTTAAAGAACTGCATTTACTGTCCTGACTAGGATATTTTTCATAAGCATAACTAGATAGTAGCATAGAATCAGACAGTAGCATAGAATCTCATCCTCGTATATTCAAGATAAGAATCCTATCTTGGTTAAACACACATGTCCTATTTATAATCAACTAAGATTAACACACGCCCATATGCGTAGCAGATGTATGAAAGCGATATAAAATCCTAACCACCTCATGCGTGAGATAATTGTATCACCACAGATCAAAAAAAATTGTATCACTACAAATCAAAAGATTGTTGTAAAATAATAGAAAAATAGAGAGAGAATACGAGAGTATGTGTATTTATTATTGATGGGAAGCCTCATATATATATATGGTTATATAAGTGGAACCCTAATAAAGTTCTACATAAATCAGGAAGATATAGTTCGTAATAATTAAGAATACAGACTTTTAGTCCATATAGAACATCCATTAATTTCATAATGCTCCCCCTTGGATGTCCATTCTTCAAAGGATATGCCTCCTTATAATCTTACTAAGAGAAAAAATCTTGTGGAAACAAAATCTTAGTGAAGGAAAAAGAATACATTATTCTTTTCTTAAATACGCGTTGAAATATTGCCTCATTAAAAATCTTTACCAGGAAAACCTAGTGGGAAAAAACCTTGATTAAAGGGAAAAAAAAATACAGTGCGTATTTACTCCCCTCATGAAGATAAATCTTGATTAAAGGGAAAAAAGTACAGTGCGTATTTACTTCTCCTCATGAAGTTAGATCTTGAAATATTTGAGTTTATGCATTACAATTTTTATGCAGCAATTCTTCAAAATTTATGGTAGAAAGCTTGTAGTAGAAAGTGTTTGATGAGCAAATTAATAATATTATCACTTGAATGATTGAACTTCAATATCACAATTCTCTATGTAATATTGTAGGAATTTCTTTCTGGACGAATAGAATGCATGTACTTTTCGTCTTTCTTCATGAATTGCTAAAATTTCCATGGCTAAAAGAAGTATTAGCAACACTTTGTTTCTTGAATTTTATAAAATAATTGTACCTCCACATATAAATGAACGACCTGATTATGATCTAATATAATGTTGATTACATAAGTAACTTGCATTTTCATAACTGATCAAAACTGATTTTGACATGTTAGTTATAATATAACTCATATATATCGTGCCATGGAGATATCAAATTATATATTTAACTCCATTTAATTTCTTCATATCTAGGAAGAACTATATCTTGCTAATAAAATTTATAAAAATCAAGTCAAGTATGAATAGTAAGATACATTAGCACCTTTATTGCACTAAGATATGGTACTTCAGGACCAAGAGTTCCTCATCATTTTCTCAAAATGAAAAATGGTCATCTTCTCATCAAGTGATCCTACTATTATTCACATAAATTCATTTGAATAACTTAGTCATATATGTGGATTCATAAGTAAATTTCATTTATGAATTGCTCAATCTTCAGGCCGAGACAAAACTTAATATTTCCAATGTCTTTCATCTCAAACTCTTCCCTTAAGAAATTTATAATCTTTGGAAACTCTTCAGAAATTCCAATAATGTTTATAAACCAAATAATGACAAATTCATATTCAAATATCTCTATAAAAATTCATGAACATATAACAATATTATTAAAATATCCTTTCAATAAAAATTCATTAATCAAGAGATCACCTTACTCATGATAATATATAAAATAAATATCAAAAGTATGCTTTTAATAATAAAATATTACAAAAGAATATAATCATAAAATAATATAATATTTTCTTAGTCATATCTTTCAATAAAAATTTCATTAATAAGAGGATCACCTTACTCATGATAATCTATAAAAATTATATAAAATAAATATCAAAAGTATGCTTTTAATAATAAAATATTACAAAAGAATATAATCATAAAATAATATAATATTTTCTTAGTCATAAACATCATTAAGGCAATTCTATTATACGTATTGAGATTTCTTTAAATTATATAGAAATCTTGAATGCATTTGTCAGGATCTCGATTTTGCTTCAAGCATTTTTTCAGTATTTCATGGCTATCATTATCCAATAATCTATATGGAGCTCCATAACATTAGTTGAATAAATTTCTCGAGAATTTAACTTATGCTTCAAGCAACTAGAATCTTTCAGGGATTTTCATATAGATATCTACATCAAGTTAGCCACATAAATAGATAGCCATTAATTCATTAGATGCATTTAGAATTTTCATAAATTGCCAGACTAATATTAGATGCATTTAGAATTTTCATAAATTGCCAGACTAATTAAATATGAAAATATAATTGCACCCACCACATGAGAGTATTTATCCTTATAATCAATGCCAGTTCTTTGCGAAAAACTTGTGCAATAAATTTGCTTTATAACTCATGACTCCATTTTAATTTCGCACAAATATGTATATGTATTCTACTGGCTTGACATCTCTTGATGTCCATATTAAAATTTTAAACTTTACTTTTCAAGTAAATTTAAAAATGTCACATGCGTCATTCTATTTTGGCCAATCAATTCTATGTCTATTTTCTCAAAATCCTCATAATCTTTCAAAAAATTTAACTTTATATCATAAAAATATTGTCTTCTATTTTGGCCAATCAATTCTATGTCTATTTTCTCAAAATCCTCATAATCTTTCAAAAAATTTAACTTTATATCATAAAAATATTGTCTACATTTTTATATTGGTTCCATCTTGTCATGACATGATATAATTTATAGAGATCTCATAATTTTCATTCATTTCAGGTACCTGAGTTTCTCAGGAAACTTATTAGTCATGTCTAGGATCTCTTCTAAATTTTACTTTTCTAGAACTCAACCATCTTAAATATTTGCTCATTTTCTTTCATCTTTGGAACCAATCTATCATGCTTCAGGCATGCCGTAGATTCATTAACATAGGCAGTTTGTCTTTCAAGGACTTTAATTCTAATAGAAGCATTTTGCAGCTAGTATGTGAGATTTAATTATGTCATTTTGGATTAGTATATATATCTGGCAACTAATTTGCAATATATTATAAATGAATTATCTTATAAAATTTTAAATTCACACTGACTTGTATGAGGATCAAGATATAATAACGATAATTCTTTTTCAATCAATTATTCTTCTAACTGTTTATTTTCTCTCCCTAATATTGGGATCCATAACAATTACCAAATTTGGCATATATAACTCTCTTATTTGAAAGTTCTAAATATTTAATTATAGATCATAACCGACATATATTTTCAACCTCGATTTGAGGACCCTTCTTAGTGCGTTGTGGTAGAGAAATTAGAACATATGCCGCACATTCAAAAATTCATGGATGGGTAATATTTGGTTCCTGATCTAAAACCGATTGTAAAGGGGAGAACTTATAATAACTTATTGGCTTGGTGCAAGTAAATGCTACTGTATATAATAGCATGCTACTTTACAAAAATAATGAGCTTTGTTCTCATAATAATTGTCTTGCATTGATTTATAAATGATTCTACTAAATCATTTTTGAGCATAAATAAAACCAATAATAGGTTGCCCTATTCAATTAACACATGCCATAATCGTTAAAAATCGATGTGTAAATTCACCATCATTTTCAAAATAAATTGTTTTAATAGCATAATGTGGAAACTGTATTCTTAATCAAATTATTTGTGCAAATAGTCATGCAAACTTCTAGTTGCATATTGATAATGATCTTTTCAAACTTCAGGTTGCAAATTAATAATAATCATGTAGCTATCTTTTGGATGTATCCATAATATATGCAAATAAATTGATCAATAATTTCCCATTATTTATTCCATAAAATACAAACAGCTCAATTTGAACTCTTGATGATTGCTCAATAATTAATTTGCTTTTAGAACAAATTAAACATGAAAAATTCATTACAGTTGAAGAAACTTCTGGTTATTCAATGAAATATTCATATAAGGATTAAATTTTACTTTTCCTCATTATTATTGATCAGCATGGTCCAACCAATTATGCCAAATAATAAAGTACTTGGATTTGTAAGCTCTTGGTCCATAACAATATTTATTCAATTATAAATATCTTTGAAATACTGCATTACGCATAAAATTTATTCCTTTTAGGTAGTAATACTTGCTCTTCCAGAGCCTTGAAATATTCTTCTACTACCAAAGCCAAATTTGCCTTTTAATATTTCGGTGTACAACAAGTACATAACCAATATCCATATATGCCATATTATTTGTATCACTTCTGGTGGTAAAATTTGTACAACAAGTACATAACCAATATCCATATATGCCATATTATTTGTATCACTTCTGGTGGTAAAATTTATTCTTAATTATGTGGCCATCATAATTGCTAGGATCATTATTTCAACTATGATCTCATCGATATATCTTTCTCATTATTCACGCCCAATCTAATATATTATTGCATTTACTTTAGGCAATGCATCAGATCTAGTTAGGTAGACATCTATCACGGAGATAGGTTTTTCCTTTGCCTATCTGTGCGGCACTTAGTCACCCTTGAGACTTTAGGATGCACTAAGTAAGCCTTGGAGTCGTGTTGGAGCGAAAATGTAAGCTAAGTAGAGAGGAGAACACAAGATGATAGACTAGATAGAGAGAGAGAAACACAAAGAGAGCTAATGTAAGAGCTTTGTTGTAGAATCTTTTATTATTCAAATCTTAGATG